TGTTACTAGCGATAGTTACACATCAAAATCTAGAGCTTGAACAACTTGATGTGAAGACAGCGTTTCTACATGGAGATTTAGAGGAAGATATATACATGACTCAGCCGGATGTTTCCAAGTTCCAGGGAAGGAAAATCACGTCTGCAAGTTGAAGAAGTCCTTATATGGACTTAAGTAGTCTCCAAGGCAGTGGTACAAAAGGTTTGAAAGCTATATGGTGAAGTTGGGCTATACTCGGAGCTCATATGATTGTTGTGTCTACTACAATAGGCTCAAGGATGATTCATTCATCTATCTCGTGCTTTATGTAGATGATATGCTGATAGCTGCAAAGAAGAAGAATGACATTCAAAAGCTGAAGGGTTTACTTAGTGCTGAGTTTGAGATGAAGGATCTGGGAGCCGCTCGGAAGATTCTAGGGATGGAGATCATTAGAGACAGAGAGAGAAGGAAAATTTTCTTGTCACAGAGAAGCTACATTCAGAAGGTCTTGGCGAGGTTTGGCATGTCTTCATCTAAGCCTATTGATACCCCCAGTGCTATTGGCAGGCTGTGAAGAGAATTTTTCGGTACCTTAGAGGTACATCTTACGTTGGTCTCATTTATGGAGGTGATACTCAGTGCTTGGTTACTGGCTATTCTTATTCTGACTGTGCTGGAGATGTTGACACAAGAAGATCGATGACTGGCTATGTGTTTACCCTTGGAGGATCTGTCGTCAGTTGGAAGGCAACTTTGCAACCTACAGTGACTTTGTCTACTACGGAAGCGGAATACATGGCCTTGACAGAGGCTGCAAAAGAAGGGATTTGGCTAAAAGGGCTGGTTAGTGATCTTGGTCTGCATCATGATCAAGCTATGGTGTATTGTGACAATCTGAGCGCAATTTGTCTAGCCAAGGATCAAGTCCATCATGAGAGAACCAAGCATATTGACGTGAGGTATCATTTTCTGAGTAGTGAGAAGAGAATCAAGGTGAAGAAAGTAGGAACTGCTGATAATCCTGCTGATATGTTCACAAAGCCGGTTCCACAGAGCAAGTTTCAACACTGTTTGGACTTGCTCAACATCAGAAGCTGGTAATTGCCCTGCGGGGCAATTCTGAGGAAGAGGGGGAGGCCTGGCACTATCGTAGTGCGTCTGAAGAATCTGTTTGGAGAATTCAAGTCAAGGTGGAGATTTGTTGAATGCCTTGAATTGGGCCCTTAATTATCTATCAATTCTGTATTTTGGGCCCAAGCCTGTTAAGGCGTAGCTTAGCACTATATATAGACGCTATGGCAAACCCTATTCTGTAATTCTGTTTTTGCCTCTCCATAATAAAACTGCTCCCCCTCTTCCCGTGGACGTAGCCAAGTTATTGGTGAACCACGTAAATCTGTTGTTTTGATTTTCGCATTTATATTTTCTCGTATTATCTCGAATTTCGCATAACAAGGGATATATCAGACCCTTTTCCCTAATAAATATTCTGCTACGATTGAAGGATATAGTGATGCAAATTGGATCATCAGGTCAAATGAAGTAAAATTTAGAAGACCCGTTTTATTTAAATATTTCTTGATTTTATTTGAATTTTCTACTGTTTGGAATTACGAAAAGTTGCAACTTTTAGGAACAAAAGGTCCAATTGAAAGATTGCAAACTTTTATTAATGGTCGTGTGGATTTTGAAATTGTTGCAACCTTTCAAAACTTGTTCTTCTTGCCTATAAATAACATTCATTCCTTACAAATTTTTCCTCATTTATTCTTCTTCTTCTTCATAAAAATTTCCTTGTGTACTTTACTATTGTTGAGTGGTTCGTTGATACCAGAGATTTTGGTATCTACACGCTGGTGATTGAGATCATTCTATCCTTCGAGGATATATTCCAAATCAAACTTTGAGACTAAGGGGAATAATTTCCTTAAGGGAACACTGTGCATTCATTGGACTTGGTCTCTCTCTATTAAAATTTTTCCAGATTCTGGTACGTTATAGATTTTAGTTTTTCTGATTAATCTATGTTCATTTTTCGTACTGATTCAATAAACTGTGGTTACTTCTTGTTTCGGCAAAATTTTGTTAGAATTAGTATTTCTATTTTCAAGCATAGATTCACAACAAAATGTATAAATATTCAACTCGTCATGAATGTTCAATTGTTTTCCAAGTGTTCCTTATAAATATTCAAGTGTTCCTTATAAAATATTAATATTTTTATAGAATCTACAACATTGAAATCTCTCTGATAGCTATGTTAATTTTTTGGATTGAAGTGGTTAAATTTATGAATCCTAATCTAATTTAAGTTATTTAGAAACACCAATACAAATTTCTTCAGGAATGTTCCCAACTCCCATTCCTTCTCCAAATTTTTTCAACACTACGGGTGTGTTTAGTATGATATGAATTTTCTAGTAAATATTTGAAAAACAAGTAGATATTTGACTTATTTTTTCATGTTTGATTGGTGAGTAGCAAATATTTTTTGAAAAAGTATCAAAAATGTTTTAGTGTTTGGTTTTGAATGAAAAATGATTTTGAGAAAAATCTTTTATTTTTTATCATAGTAGAAAATAAATTTTTAGTTGAATATTTTTTTAAAAAGACAGAGCTATAAATTTTTTCGTGGTGGGGTGGGGTTTTAGAGTATGGGTGAAAAATTAAAATTTGAAGTTAATTTTTTAAAAAAATAATATTTTTTTTGGGGGGGGGGGGAGGGATTATGGTAGGGGGCTAGTGAGGTGGGGGCTGGTAGGGGGCTAGTGCGGTGGGGGTGGGGGCTAGTGAAGTGGGAGGGTTGGGTTGAAAAAAATGAAAAGTTTAACTTTAAAATATTTTTAAAAAGAAACTTAAATTATTATTTTTGGGGGGTGTGGGTGGGTAAGTGGCGGGATACTATACCTTTGGAACCATTTACGCATAAGAAACACTCATCACATCTAGGACTCTTTACAATTTCATGGTACAGTTCGAAAGGACAATACCGATGCTTTTGAATTTAATAAGAAAAGTTATAGATGAACTTCAAATAGATTTATATTTAAGGAAAACTAAAATACAATAGCATTATATTTCATTAAATTTGTCTTAGATATATTTGTACTTATGAAGAATTATGAATTTATGATATTAATGGGACCATATATTTATATATGGGTCTTTTGAAAATATATTATCTTATTATCTTATCGAAATTGGTGATTATTTCCATTGACCTAAGTCGAGACCATAGGAAAATATTATTTTAGAGAGATTATTAATTTATCTAGTATTAATTTATAGAGGTTTTACCGTACATTATTGGAGGTTGATTTTCAATTGACACCGCTGTTTATTGGGCATTTTTACTAAGTGCCACTGATTAGGTGGTTTTTACAGACTAATGCTTATTTGACGGGATAAGTAGACTATAACATACTAATAAGCAGCAACTATGGTAATGCCCTTAAATAATTCCCACTATAAGACATTTAATGGCATTGTGAACAAATAAAGGGGTTCAATTGAATCTCCTTCCTCAGAAATTATACTAAGGAAATAGGACAAAAATAAATTGTATTTGTGTATATATCAAATTTTTATTCCCATTGATCATCGAAAAGCATCCATTATAATGCAAACGTTTGTTCAAAAATCGTTTAGCATCGCAATTTTGAGTCTATTTTTGAAGTTCTTGCAAATTTTTTTAATTGCTTTCGTAAAATTCTGACTCTACAATTACAAAAGTCCTATATGTAGATGTATGAACTACATTTTATAGGCAAAATTATTTTGTGAAGTTCGAAGAATCTTAGAGAAAACTTCTGCTCCCCAAATAATTAACATATCCATTTTTGTAGAATTACTTTTTAAGTTAAAGAGTTAAGATTATTGACCGCTTACAAAATGAATAGAAGAAATAGTTTTTTCAGATCTCTGTTGTCTAGTTTCTAATTCAAAGATTCAGAAAATAAACAAATATATTATGAACTAGAAGGATGCAGAAGTTACTAATATAAAAACCAAACTGTTTTCGATTTCAAAACAACAGACAAATGCAACATTATTCACAGTTTTGCATGATTAATTGGTGCGAGTTATTTATTCTACTACGTTCTTAATATAACATAATTATATTCCTGCTGAAGCTGTTGGACATCCACAGCTACTTCTCCACCGCGATCCGGTCTGTTTCCTCAAAACGTCCATCCTCTACTGGTTCCTACAAATCCAGACAAGCAAGATTCAGCAGAGTAACACGCAAGTTCTTGAAAAAACAAAGTTGTTATAGATCTAGTTCACTTATTAGTATGATGATAATACAAAATGAGTCTAAATGAAGCACTGGTTCCGATATCAACTTGTTTGAGACTGATGTATCGAAGTTATTGTTATATATTTACTAATATATATAACATTCAGAAATGTAGTTTACCAAAATTTGCTGAAGTATAAAGTGTAGACATGTGAATTAATATAAGGGTGTCCAGAAATAGCACAACTCTTTATTTAAAAGGGTGTCCAAAATATCTTTCATTTTACTTATATATACGGTACACCACTAAGAATGTGTACTAAAATTTTATCACTGCAAATTAGATGGTCAAACGACCCCCTGAACTGGTAGTTTGAAGGTCCGAGTCATGCTGGAGGGTGAGTGGACACTATTGATCCTCCTTTTGAGTGGAGTGGTTAAAAAGAAGACCTCTTGAGACTTTCATTAACTTTTGGGAGCGATATAAGAACATTCTTTCAATCATTTCATGTATTGCAATCTGACGATAGTAGTGCCGTTTTCTTCTTATTCAGAGATAGACAGTTTTAGTAATAGAATATATATAAAGCACTCAAAAGAGTTACCAGCAAGCATTTAAATATGAAGATTTGTTACCTGCAGCAGCCGTATCCTCTGTGCTGACCTATAAATAATAATGCTAATAGTTAATTTCCATACTGGATGCCGGTAATCAGTTAAACATTCTTCCAAATATGAAAACAATAAAAAATGGCTTACCACGGGATATTCATTTCTTTGGACAAATCCTTGGACACCTAAGAGTTTTGCCTGATGAGAGAAACACAAAGCATGATCATGCTGGTTCTAATTCAACTAACCAACAACTACTATTTTTATTGAAATAAAAGTAAAAAATTGCATCAGCCTTGAGATATGCTCTCACTTTTGATTGTTGAATCTGTTCCATATTGCTCCTAAGGAACTGCTCATATGCTTCAGCTTCTTAGACTGAGCTGATATTCTCCACTTGCGGGTTGTAATACCTGCCCCCATAAAAAAAGAGATGCACGACAAAAAAAGAAGGACAAGAACCTTATTTTCTGTTGTGCCTCCCTTTGTGTTTCTTTGAGCTCATTAAGCTTCTTCTCATGAGCCTAATAAGGAAATACATGAATAATGTGCGTGGAATCATCAAATCTTACCTCAGCACTAAAGCACGTTGATCAATCAACAGCATCGTAATATACCAAGCAAAAAATGACAGAAATTATTCAATTATGTAGAAAATACCAACCAAAAAAGAAAAAGAGTAAAGAAAGAGAGAATTCATGAATCCGCTCGGACGAACTAATAGACAAATTCATATAAAGAGAGAATTCATGAATCCGATGGAATGACAGACCGTTCGACTGCCACTGTCGGTCCATACTTAGCATCTTCTTCCGCCTTCATCCAGACAAATTCTCTAATCCAATCGATGGACCAACATCACGGTTCGTCGATGCTTCCATCGTTCCATACTTAGTTTTTTTTCAACTTCGTGTACTGGGACTAATCTCTGATTTGACCGATGATTTGCCAGTATGGTCCGTCGATCAGTCGATGGACCGTCGATCCTTCCGTAGCCCCACTTGGTCTCCAGTTGATGAACACCACCTACGAACCATCAATGGAATGACAAGTGGTTGATGGCTTCGTGGGTCACCTCTTCTTCACAATCTTCTGTATTTCTGTTTTGGACGACTTTCATGCAAAACACAGATAAAAACCATTACAATTACTAGAAAAAGGCACTAGACACACACTAAAAATAAGGAAAAAAGCATTGAAACTACCGTGAGACCACGATACATCAACACCCTCAACTTAAATTCGTTGTTTGTCCTTAAGCAACACACTATGACTCACCACAACACCTTTGTACAGAAGTATCCTCATTTAAGATTTTGCAATAATATGGACATAAATCCCGATTATTTTCATTGCTATAATGCATGATATCATTCTTATTATATTTCATGTGGATCAGACCATGACACAGACTCACCACGTCGACACCTCTACTCTATTATCGCTTATGAAGGCACCAATTTTCCAATATTGCAACTAGTGTTATCACTTCAAAAGATATCCTCCTTTTTCACACGATGATTTCAAATTTGAGTATGAGGACCATTATTCAACACTCACTCTCGGAACAACTTCACACCTAGTTGATACTTGTACCCATAGGCTTGCCCTTATTTTCACTGCTTTAAGTTCACCATATTAGACTCTTAGGATCACGATAGGACTTTATTGTCTTGTAACATAGGCTCAGCGTCAGGTCTTGTACATATGGATACATTTTAGTGACTTGTTTCCCAATGCATAAGAAATATAAAGCAAGGTGGTAGGTGAAACAAACCTGAGACGCATAGCGCAGACGATCAACAAGCATGCGGGTCTGGTTGCCTAGAACCCGCTCCATCAGTACTAGGGACACCATCAGTAATGTCCGCAGCAATGTCAGCACCCTCATTGGTGCTCCTCTCAATATCATAAATCCTGCAGCTAGACTCCCAAACAGCCAACTCACGAGCCCCCATTTGTCGAGCCTCCTCATCTACCAAAAAAGCTCTCCTCGCGGCCTCCATCTCAGTGCGCTCCTTCTTTCTAGTCCGAGCCTTGTCACTGTCTCTGGATCGGTGTATCTTGGCACACTAACATCGCAAAGGTGATGGTGAAGTGGTGGTCTGGAACAGTGCACTAAGCACCATATCCCTCAGCAAGCTCCGTAGGTGTGACCTCAGGCTCCAGTGCCCAGGGCAGACTCAACCGGGGTTGTGTCAGTAGGCTTTGAAGCGGCATGATCGGTCTCTTGTCCTGCTCTATCATATCCGCGAGGTTCTCACCCACAACTGCACCTCCAATTGGGGCCCCCTAGGTGCCGCCTCATTAGCCTCATCCCTGATAAAACCGATGTCCACTATCCCAGTAGGAGTTCAGAGAACATCAATGTCCCAAATGGGCACTCCAGCAACCCTGCACAACCGAAAAATGATACAGGGAAAGGAATAGGTGGTTGAGGCCTTAAAATCCCTCTCATGGATGACTGCCAATAACAGCCTTGGAAAATCAACCTCGAATTTTGCAACTATAGCAGGAACCAAGACTGCTCTATCCCATGTAAGTATATTTTCCGCAATTGTGGGGTATAGGAGATGGCCGAACAAGAGACAAATAAATTTGCCAGCAAATGTGAGGTTGACCTTCTTGATAAGTCCTCTAGGCTCCAGCACCCAATCTGTGCCCTCACGATCTATGGAGATGTGCTGGACAATCAACTGCTTGGTGGTCTCTATCAAATCCTTGTCGCGCTAGAAAAGGCCCTCCCTAATCAAGTTCCACTATTTGTCAAATCGGGGGTGAGGGGGCCCTGGAGGCATCAATATCTGTGCCGTATAAGAAACAATGGATAGTGGGCAAGGAGATATCCACCTGATGGCCACGGACTAGAACATAGCTAAGTGGTGCCTGTTTGGCGGGATTAGACCGCCTATCCAAAGATTCCCAGAGAGTTGCTATGTAAGAAGAGTAGAACTCTCGCACCAATTCCTCACTGTAGCGTCCCACGCTCCTATCCATCCACTCTAGATGATGGATGGTGAAGAGAGCATGTATAGCATGAACAGCGTGTAGACTCCCTTTAAGAACCCGTCTCTCAACTGTCCGAATCCGAGTCATGACGCCCTTATCATTAAGCACCTTTGCATCCCTGTATATCTGACGTTTCCCCTATACTCACCACCGATTAGGCTGATCAAAAACATGTGAAGGATCCTCATGTAGTGGTGAAGGAGCAGCCTGCAAACTCTAGGCCTTATTAGATGAGGCAGTGTGGGCAGGGGCATCCGGAACAATGGCACCCTCTTAACCAGACCCTGAGGTAGTGGCCTCATTCGACCCTGTAGAGTGGGCCGTCTAAATATCAAAACCCTCCTCGGAGCCAGAATCTCCTTCAGAATCTAAGGCAGACCTAGAGGGTGTGCCGATAAGTGTATGATCCTCATCATACTCAGAAGCACTGACTACGCCGTACTCCACCTTCTTAGGCGTACACCAAGTTGTCCTAGCAGCACTTGTCGGTGTCTAGGTTCCTGGTGGCACGTATTTACGATCACGCTAATCTTCTAACAAGCCATTCACCATTCGGTGTGAAGGTGCCACGGACTTGGATCGTCCTCTAGAGTAGACTAAATCTGTTTTAACGGCCATTGGTACCGGCAATAGAGAGTTATTAGTGTCATTGTAAGCATCCTACACCTCCCAAAAGAAACAAAAACCAACTTTAGAACAAAAAGGAACAGTGAAGTGCAGAACGACAAAACTGAAAGACAGGCACTATCGACGGTCCGTCGATAGGGTCCGTCAGTGGACACTTAGAACATTTTTAGAAGTTACAAGTCCACTGTGTTTGCAGTTAGAAACGACGGACCGTAGTACACTTCCGTCGTTGGACACTTAGAAAAATTCAAAATGCAGTAGAAAATCGGGTTTATGGTAAGGACGGTGGACATGCAGAATGGCCTGACGACAAGCCATAGTCCACTTTTATCATGCAAGAGTTTAACAAATATATGGTGCGTTTATCGACAGACCCCATTGGTGGTTTGTTAATTGATCGACGGTCCGTAGACAGGGTCTCGTACTGTCGGCCAGAGATATATTTTGTTAAGCTATTGTTGGCACCCCTCTAAGGACAATTTCAAGAAACGCACGACACATCATATTCATATAGCAATCAACACACCATTTCGTCATTCCTAGGGCTTTGATTATTCCAATTTAAATCCTAGATTTTATGAGACCTACAAGCCCTAATGAGATAGGCGGCGGAGAAATTTCCGATAGCAAATTACTTGACTCGATGGATGGAGGGAGAGCCCTCCAACTCAAGCACGAAATCAATGTTGAGTCAACAATCATCGAGAGGGGTACCACCAAGCGAGATCGAGACCATCCCCACGAAAAACCACAAAACACATAAAAAAGTTCATTTTAGACACTATGGCCCCCAACTCATTAACTTTCAATCATTCTAAGGGATAAGGGACCCAATTTTAATGAGTTAATCATGTAATTTTGTCTCAAAGTCAAGACCCACATACAATTTCATCATTTTCGCATGCAAATGAACAAGAATTCATTGAGCAGATGAGAATGCATACATGTATACTGTAGTGAAGTGAAGGTGAGGATGAACTTTACAATAATAACACCGAGCCCGCCTTCGAACACCAACCGGAAGAATGAAAGAAAAGGATGGTAATTTTGGGAGATAAGGGTTTGGAACTCAGGGAATTTGGGGAAGACAGGAAATCAAAAGGGAATATTGTGGATTTAATGTGAGAGTGAGTGGGGGAGTAAGAGAATAAGGGGAGGGAAACGGTTGGGGATAATTTGAAAAGGTGGGGGTAACAGAAAGGGTGCTATTTTAATATATAGCCGGTCGGGTCGGGTCATGGGTTCAAGGGAACTAAATATTCCCCGTTGATAGACCACAAGTCAATCGATGGTCCATCTACTGCTCCGTCAATTGTTCCCTAACTTAGACAAATTTAACAATCGTACCTAGGATCCACGGACGCCATCGACGGTCCGCCGATGGGACGACGGCCCGCCGATTAGTCCGTAGATTAGTGCACCATTCCAATTTCTACAGATTTCCTTAGGTTTGGTCCCTGCAAATTAAGCACCTAATAAGCCATTCATTTTATATTTTTTGGGCATATTTTGGACACTGACCGTAGACTACTATCTAGCCAACACTCTAAAAAAAATAAAAGAAAGTCCACAAATGACATTAAGTAAAAACCAAAATAATGCAACAATTCCTATAAAGACAAGAAAACCTAATGTTGGCTAGAGAATACATATTGGGTTGCCTCCCAATCACCACTTGATTTAACATCGCGACACGATGAAACACTCTTGATTACTTAGTCTTCATCAAGATGGTATGCTTCAACCACTTGATTTGCATTATCTGCA